TTTTGCGATAACCTTTTTCCTTTCTGCGCATGCTGCTAGACCGCAGTGAGGTGCTGAGAAGCAAGACAAATATATGTTGTGGACAAAATTGTCTTTGCAATGAACTTTGTAGCTTCAAAAAAGAATCAATCTGCTTGAAGTTACAGCGATTTGAAAAAATGCCCGGGAACTTTCTTTACAAACTAATATTACTCAGAGCAAAAAAGACGAACCAGGCTAAAATCACTAAGTGAAAACTACAAGATTCAAGCTATCGAACTGTATTTAGATTAATCGTTTAAAGCTCTTTCAAAAGTAAGCTACTGGGGTGCTATAGCACAACTACAGAAACGGTGCGGGTACCGTACTTTTTTGAAATTGCACCACACTCCATCAACTAGGTCATAAGATTCTCACCAACATTTATATGAATCAATAGCTAAATCTCTTAGTTTTACTGATTTGAGCTTGTTTCAACATCATTGCTTTGAGTGACACTGGTGAAAACACAACTGCTGAAAACGAACAATTTTTTTGGACTAACGGTTTCTTGAAGCGGAATCTTGAGGTTGAGTAAAGAAGGAATATATGTATTGAGTGCAAAAAGAGGTAGCTATTCACCTGTAAAACACAGTCAATTATGTTCGAAAATGACCATCTCACTCAGGTGACCCAAAACTCTGAAACTCTGAATTCGCTCAAACTTGCTTACACAGGGGTGTCCGCATGCTAATTATGTAAATTTTACTCATTATTCTTGGTAGTGTATCCCATTTGTTTGTATTTCGCATAATATGATTACCTTTTATGCGAAATAATAGAAACCTTCTGCGAATATCAGCTGTTGTTGATATTGCTATTATATCAGTACCACTCGATTGCGATTCCTTCTCTTTTTGACTATTCATTACGACCCCAGGTTTGGCGTGCCACGTCCCACGCTTGACTCTGGTGAAGAGGCGAAAGCAAACTTTATATACGACGTGTACTAAGAGCAAGATTATGCGAAAGGGCATTATGATTACGAGCATGCAAAGTAACGCTATGAGACAAGGGAGTAATAACTTCAAAAAGTTAAAAGCTGATCCGCAGATTGATTTCGATTTATTGTAATGGCAAAGGTTGCTATTATCGCGATTATGAAGGATGTTCCCATCAATGTTGCATACCATGTTGCTTGATTACATACCATAAGTAGAAACCTAAAATAGTGAAATTTGAAGTGTCATCTGCTAATGACTTGATTTTTGAAGTCTTTGACTATTTAAAAACAATTGAAAGGATGTTCGTAAATCGCAGTAATTCTGAAATTCCAAAGGTGACGCTCTAATAAGCAGTGCGCTCACATTTCGCTTTTCGAAAACCGCGGATCGTGTTCTTTCCTACTCTGTACTAGGGGACTATAAATGCATTGCTTCTGCATACACTCTCCGCTATTGCGTTTGCTATGCTTAAACAACAAAAACTCAAGAAAAAGCTCCTTGAACACAACCATAACATCCTACAGCAGGCGAAGTGAGGACGGAGTAGAGGACCGAACATGTCTACTAAATTTCGAGGACTACTTCTCAAAACATTCAGCAGCAAAAACAACTCTAAAAAGGCGAGTTCGGTCACGATTTTAGGATTATGAGCGCCAATAGATTGTTTACAAAGTGTGGGAATGTCAAGAGGGTGGCAGAGGCTGTACTTTGAAAAAAAGCTCATTTAACCATTGCAGTAACATAGTACCATTTTCAACAGAAGTCAAGTCATCAGTAATTACTCACACTTTGAACGTATATGCGCAAGTATTGCTCACTGTACAAATCGAGCTTAGTGAATGATTTAGGCTTGTGCAAACGTACAAAAATTTTTGATTTCGTAACGAAATGGCTACACATTTTTTTGTAAATATATGAGTCGAAAAAAGAAGAAGGGATGGATTACTTTGTTGGTTATCGGCCGAAAGAATCTTGAAGACTTTCTTTTGTACGTCAGGAAAGAGTGATAGTTGAAATTCATGTTTCTTTTCTGTCGATTGTGTAATAAAGTGAAGTATTCAATAGTCTTCTTATGTATCTTCGGATCTCATGAATTTCATGAGATTCAGAAGAAAAAGGAATTCCCGGGTATTAATTTGCATACGATACTTCTTCTAGTAAAGGGGGAATCGTTTATTCGAATATTTTCGGCTCGCGCAACTGCCCATATGTAGACATTTTTCGACTTCTCTTCGGTACGATCTTGAGCAGGCAAATAACTCCCAAAACAAGATAAAGATATGGGATTTAGTTGTTTTGATTTGTTCCTTATATTGCCTTGCAACGCTGTTGCGTATAAGAATTGAATTTGCTTGGGAGAACAATTATCGAATTTGTCTTGCACTGAGTATTCGATGCGATAACAGGAAAAGCTCGAGGCTTTTCTACGAAAACTCGAATTTGCCAGTCTACTTACTGCAGTTTCAACAACAGTTTCAAAACTCTGAATAACATTACCGCCATTTCAGGTAATCGCCGGGGCAGGCGGTCCGCAAACTCGCGCTTTTCTGCAAACGGGCGGCAAAATTTTGGGGGGTGGCCAAACCTTCAGCGAGCGGTACTTTCGTGTTCTGCCAGTGGGCAGAAATACAGAATTTTCTGCAAGCGCAGGCCAAACTTTCAGCAGGCGCTTGGATTTTTTAACACATTCCGGGCGTACGCCGAGCAAAGGCAACACTCTACATAACAGGAGTGTCATTGTGGTTTGATTACCCGAGTTTGGGGAACTTTCTTCCAGTGGAAAGTACCTACGGACTGTGCGGTCCTTCGCAAAGAACCGTGCGGCCCTCAATAATTCTGCATATTCTCACGGAAGGCCCGCGAAGATACGGCCACTGCGCCGCAATTAATCTGTGGAAAAGTTGAGATTTTTTTCAAGCATTTGTCTAAAATTTTGCCGAAATTCTTCCAAATATCTGCAAGCGGACCGCAAGATATCAGCGAACTATTCTTCCGGTGCCCGCCTGCCATAAATCGCATGGCCGCCTGCCCCCGGCGATTATCTGAGATACAGCACTTAAAGGCAGTGTCCCGGCAGATTTTGCTTTTCCATCTTTTTGCATGATTTGGGCCTCTGCGACCCGCAGACACCCGAAGACCTTCGAACCAAGTGAAAAGACCTTTCCGTGGCATTTACGCAACAATCGGCCGGAAGTAGGCGGTTATGCGATTCCTGGGCAAGTGGCCACCGGAAAGATAGTCCGCTGATTTCTTGCGGTCCGCTTGCAGATTTTCAAAAAAAAAGTTGAACGATTTTTGGACGACTGGCGTAGTGCCCGCATTCACGGACATTTCGCGAAAATATGCAAAAATTTCGAGGGCCGCACGGTCTTTTGTGAAGGGCCGCACAGCCCACAGATACCTTCCGCTGAGAAAAAGTGCCCCAAACTCGGGTAATTGAACCATCGATGGAAACTCTGTTATGTAGAGTGTTACCCTTGCTCGGCGTACGCCCGAAACAGTAAAAAGAGTCCGAGCGCTCGTTGGATTTATGGCCAGCGCTTGCTAAAGGAAAGTATTTGACGAGCGCCCGCAGAAAACTCTGTATCTTTTCCTGTTGGCAGAACATGCGACACTAAAGGAAGTACCGCCCGCTAAAGGTTTGGCCACGCCCCAAAATTTTGGTGACCGCCTGCAAAAAAACGCTAGTTTGCGGACCGCCTGCCCGCCGACGATTATATGAGAGGCGGCTCGGACAAGAATTTTAATGGAGTGTTGGGAGGCCTGGCACAGAAACCCTGCTGCCAGTAATTTTTGCTTTGGATAGCATTCACAATGCTGAGAGAGCGGTCGTGGGGTCCCGCGCCGAACGCTAAGCGAAGTAGTCCGAGCGCGCGCCCATTCGAAAGCTATTTTTTTCTCGAACTAAGGGGAACATCAACCAGCCGGACTACGCCAGGAGGTCAGTGGGATGACCAGGAACTCCGCTATAGCAATATCCCTCAAAACGCGAATCTGCCGGGACACTGCCTCTAATTCTGTTGCAGTGAAAAGCCACCATAATAAAAAAAACTAGAAAGGGTCTTCGCAAAGCCGTACTTACTTCAAGAAAATGACATAATCATTTAGCAGAGGAGATGTATCAATCCCAGTTGTTCTGTGTCGCATTTTAGATACTTTTGCGTCATCCAAAAGCAATAACTCGCCAGATTGAAGGGCCGCAGCTAGAAAAAGCATTTTTTGAACTGGCGTTTGAAGATGATTTCGCATATATAAGTCCCTTTCCAAAACGCTGAGCTAAGTTAGATAGTTGATTAGTACTTATTCTTGTCAGATTTACCGTATAAACCGAATTGTCAATCACTTTTCCTTTGTTGTAGGATTAGGCATGAAGTTTAGCATAGTCCTTCCTCTGGCTCTCCGTGGCTCATGAACCAGGCAAGACCGGGTATGCCAGTTAGTGAGCAATAAAATGACCGAAGAATATTAACGGTTGCCAAGGGTTGCGGTAGCTTAAGGCTGCTCCACTAAAAAACAGCACAAATACTCTTTTCAGCTATGCCATGCTTGTTCTGCTCTAAAGAGACATAGCGCATTTTCAAAACGCAGTATGCTGAAAAGAGCTTCGCGAGAATCGCAGCTTACACGAAGCACGAAATATAAATTAATGCAATGCAGAACATTTCTTTCAAGACTTCTTTAGAAGGATATCAGGCCAGCAAAAACTCGATCCTATCAAATTCACACTTTATTGGTAACTACAAAGGTTAAAATGCACTTCTAAATTATGTGTACTTGAGAAATTATAAAACTACAATTTAGCCTGCCCAAATTTCCGGCTAGGCTCAAGCATTCTCTTTTAACAAGCAAAGCTGCTAATAGCCGTTAAGGAAAAGGTATCATAGCCTCTTGTGTTTCATCATTTTCGTTCAGGATAGACGACTTTTTCATACTTGGGGAAGCCATAGTATTTGCATATAAAGCTTTTGAGATTTTTAGATTTGATATGAATATATCAAAAACACGTAATTGCGCAACCATATTTATTCTACTGCGAATTCAAATGCAGTACCCACATGTTTTAGGACATTGTTTCTTCATCAATTGCTGATAAAGCAAGTTGTTGCATAATGCACGATTTCGAACGCAATCTGATACTCCAGTTCTCGGATCGACAAGGTCTTGGCAGGCTAGAAACGCAGGGCTAAGATTTTGATGTTGAAGTTTAGCGTTATGTGTTTACCTGGTTGGCATATATTGCATGTAAGTGGACACTGTTCTTTCATGAGCTGTCTGTACATTAAATTTTCACAGAGATGCTTTTTTTCAGGACAATCCGAAATGCCGGTTCTTGGGTCGACAAAGTCTTGGCATGCTGGAAGAATTTAACTTAATGATGATAAGTAGCAGCGTGAAAGTTACACTTACGCACTGTTGGAGTCACAGGAATTACCTGAAAGTAAATAGCTAAAATGAAAGCCGTAGCTTCTAGGTAACTAATAAGGGAAGCTAACTGACCCAGCTCGGCCTTTCGGCAAGGGACATTAATGTTCTGAATCAGCTTCAAACGCTGATTCCAAATAAGCTCCTAGCTGCTGCGCAACATTCCGAAGCGAGTTATGGGCTTTTTCGTGCACAAAATTGGCATGCTCATAAACTCACTGAAATCACGGTATCATCGCCTGGGTGCTAATACACTTGCGTTTAGTTTCTGTTTAGTGGGAAAAAGTTGGATTTGTGTTGTTGCGATTCTCAGCACTTTTTTGTTGCTGATTTTCATCAAACGGTCCTCCTGTGTTTAGTAGTATGCCAATTCTGTACAGGAGAAATTCCATAACTCGCTTAGGAATGGTGCGCGGCAGCTAGGAGTAGCACATTTGGGAGCAGCGTTTGAAGCTGATTCAGAATGTATATGTCTCTTGACTAAAAGCCGAGCTAAGTTAGATAGCTCCCCTTGTAAGTTAGAAAAACAGACTGCTCTGTAACTTGATTTGTTGTTAGACTATGCTAAAGGTAAACGCACGATCTATCTGACATAACCCAATGTCAGTACTGAAATAACTTCGTTATAAATTTCACATCCACAAACAAAGTATTGTAGTCACCTTAGTAGAATCGCAACAGAACTCTCCTCTTGGCGATTGTATGCAGAGTCGTCCAGTGGGACACAAACCCGTGATACATGCTAAATACAATCCTTATCAAACATGTGGTTTGTACAAATGATTACTTGAGTAGGGGTTTTCGCAATCTTAACCTTCCAAACTAGTTCAAATTCTCTTTAGAAATTGTTACCAACACTGGATTGTTTCGCTAGTTGAATCGCAGAACAAATTTTAGTAGAATGTAGATTTTGATGTCCTTTTTTATCTGGGCACATTCATCACTCACCAATGTCAGCCTCGCAAGTTCTTATAGTTAACGTATTTATTTGTGACAGTCCCGTTAGCTTGATTTAATGAATACAACACATTTATCAAAGCTTTGGGCAAAGGCAGTATCAAAGAAATATGTCTGCTATTGATGCCGCTGGTACTCTTCCTGATATCTCCAACTTTGGCCACACTGATGGCGTTACGGCAATACTGAGGCGTATTAGCCTCAGCCGAGCAACTGCCATTTGTGAATTTACAAGAGAGCCTTTATTCAGTCAGACATATTCGAGCTTTGATTAGAGGGTTAGAGCATGCCAAATACTCCATGAAATAGAATTTCAAGGAGAATATTTGGCATGCTCTAGTCCGCTAAATGGCCCAATGTCTAAAGCATTTGAATTTTTTCTATCATATAATGTTTTCGCAGAAAATTTCGGCACAAAGTTGCGTCTAATAAGGCCAGGGCCTCGTTGTAGTGCAATCGCACATCTGCGCGCGGGCGCTACCGTAAAAGCAGCGTGGAAGGACCATGCTGCCTTGTTTTTATCATTGTATCTCGCCATTTTCTCTTTTTGTCGCAGCGCATTGTGATCCCTTGTTTCTATGCTCATATGCGATCTGCTTAATTCTACGATTTCCTTCGCAGCAAAGGAGGGAGGTCAAACCTTTGAGGCGTTTTTTTTCTCAATGACATCTTTCATTTCATCCAGTCCTTCCTCGGATGGCTGATATGTGGGTGTCAAATCATTATATCGATTCGTGTTTCAACAGACATAATCGTTTAGATTTGAGTGAACGCGAAAGCGCTGTTCACTCAAACTGTTTTCTCAACCCACACGCATAGATAACACCTCAGAAAATTCACCTTCAGCTTCGTAAGAAGAAATAGCACAACTTTTTTCAGAATTCTCAAATAGGACGATATAGATCATACCTTCCTTTGAAAGACCTCTCCGTTTTGTCTTATGTTCGCGCGGTGATACTTTGCGAAATCTCAAGAAGTACTGAGTACAGTTTCATGCAAAAAAAGCTCAGAAATTTGAAATCAGGGCAGAGAACAAGTGCAAGAAATAAGCGGAGGAATGGCTCAAACAAGGACTACGCCGTTTTACGCGGCATGGTCCCTAAGCGTTGCAGACACGGTAGCACTCGCGCGTAGGTGTGTGACTGCACTACGCGGGCCTGGTCCCGTAGTGCACACTATTTTACAATGTTGGGGCAGAGCGATAGACAACTTTTGAACTCCCTTTCACATCACGTATTCAAGTTGCCTAAGGGCTAAGGCATAGCTTGCTCTATTCCAATCATTGCGCCATTCGCCACAACAGTAACTCTTTGTAATTCGTCGCTAGCTCTGCCTTGGATCAGAACTTGATCCGTTCCCACAACTTACACTAGCTACCCAAAAATGCGTTCGAGAAGCGCGCACGATAAATTCGTAGAAATCTGGCAAATCGCCAAGTTGCGTGAAAGTGGCGATTTGGACGAACCGATAAAGTAGGCTGCCTTAGGCTTAAGAAAAGGACGGAAAAGTGTTGGTTGCACTGTACTCACATGTATAGTTTCTTATATGTAGCTACTGCAACGATAAGTACTGGTTTGCTTACATGGAATCGAGACTACAAAAGACTTCGCTGGATTTTGCTTCACAATGTTTGCTTTTCCTTCATTTCTTAAGAAAAATTTCAGCTATGCCAATGCTCTTGAATCTACTCGGTCGAACCAGTTAAAAAAGCTGATTGTCAGTGACATTGAAATACCAGTAAATGAGCTAGATCCTTATGCTCTGGGCATATTCCATGCTATTTGAGCAATCTGGTTTGCCAGATGTTTTTGAATTCAACACTGACAGACCACAAGTACATAAAGTTTTACTTTCGTTGGTTGGAGTACGTCTATCTTCTGTACATTCGGAATCCGCTCACGATGAATCACAGGGACAACGCGGAGTTTGAGGTTTCAGAAAAAAGGGGCCGTTTTGAGCTATACTGATGCAACGCCAGCATTATGTACAACAATGTCAGGTGAGCCCGTTATGTTAACAAGCACATGGACTCTTCTATACATATAATAAGCATAAGAAGCCCCTATCAAACAAAATGAGTCATTTTCTTAGATAGAATGTCCAGTAACCTGCTCACCAAGTTTTAGAATATTTGAGGTTTCCAGATAATGGGCCGCAAAAGTGAAATGGTCATTTTCACATTGTTAAACTTTGTTTTATGGTGAGTTAGCTACAGTGTAGTGGTAAGCGAAGGCGGCTGCCAACTAAGCGGGGCTTGGGCAGGCGTAGGAGCTTCAGTAATAAAAGATGCTCGAACGCCGCACTCGCACCTGCTTTCCAGAGTAAACCGAACTCCTTCATCGGGGATAAGCCTTTATCTCTTGATGCAAACCTAAAGGCTGCTGCATGACGAAGGCGCAATACCTTTCGCGATCGCGACTTTATTAGTTGCAGAGCGCATGAGGCGCAGGATTTACAACGATAAAGATACGCGCGCCGCGTTCACGTCCGCTCAACTAATACCAATTCTGCGCCTTCGTCATGCAGCAGCCTTTACTCTTTTTCGCCCAAACTAAGTGTTTTACATGACCGCCAAACTACAAAATTAAGACGTTAAAATCTTGGCATTCTCCCTTTCTTTCAATGTTTTTAGCAACTGCTTATAGTAAAGATACGCAGATTTATTGTAAAGTCTATTTTGTAGAGTGGAAGGCTTAGCAATTTGAATGGTATAAAAATATTTGTATGCTTTGAAGGTAACTTGTTAGGATGTGGCACAACCTCAGAAGGTGTAGCAGCCTCACCTTCATAGATTTTGGCGAACGTTAAGCAGAGAGTTCAAAGGCCTATCTCGCAGTTTTTACTAACTAATTTGGATCTAATCCGTATTCTTTATCACAACTGCAGAAGTGAGAGATTGAACAATTTTGGCTGGTTTCTTATCTCGCAGTTTTGCTGTGGTTAAAAATGGGATTTGGGTCTGGGAAAGGAATGTGTAGTGCTTTGTGTTGGGTACAAAAGTTATAAATAACTTACTACTAAAATAAAGTTAATCGTGTTTGAAATTGACTACTTCACATATAGACAAAAATTTAAAAGCTAAGAATTCTCTGAAATTCAAAGAGAAGGGTTGTTTGACAATTTCACTGGCTTGTTAGGGTCTCCATGCTATGCCTAAGGTAGGCGTTGACGATGTTATTTTCAGTATTTCTGAGAACAGTTTTTTAGACTTCTTCTGAGCTTGAAGGTTCGCGGACATAAACTTGTTTCTTCCTTTTTTGTTTAGTACGACACAACTCTCAGAATACCCTAATAGAGCGCATCAAGCAACTTACGTGTAGTGGTCGGGCTAGCCGCAGGATCGGAACATTCCTGTTGCTGAGGTGCAGCACTGTGAAGAACGAGCAAAATTAGAGCGAAAAGCGCGGTCATGGTTTGTTGCTCTCTCGACCAATCGTCGGTATTTATAGATCCCACTTCACTTCCGCCAGCAAAGTCATTGGCATTCTTATCATATGTTATAGCGGACATTATAATCCGATCTAAGTAGACTGGTACCTGGCAAAGACTACAGTCGTGACAGAATTAACACTAGTTTGAAGATCAGCTCTGGCTCCCATAATACAAGCGTTTTTTGGATGCTAAAAACATTATGACTTGTACTTGTCTGCTATAGCGGGTAACACACACAATTTACAAATTTTTTTTCATAAAAAAAAGGACAGAAAGTTGATTTGCACCTACGCATGAACATTCCAAAAATATTGATAAACTCGTTAATGCCGCATGTTTTTTAACCCAATAGCTGCACGTCATATATCGTTTCCTGAACCCATATCACCGAGTCAGAACTTCTTCATCAGGGCATAATAAGATAATTTTCCTTCCAAAAACTCAATACTTGTTGCTCGAGTATTTTTGTTACAAAAAGATCGACTTAGTTGTCCTTATGTCTTCTGCCCCATTCGCCTTTAGCGTTTACTTGATCAACTTTTGCACCGTGCTCAATATCACGCGCTCTGATTTTCAAACTCTACCGCGAACAAAGAAACTTACAAGGTTTGTGCTTTAACTTTTCACATGAGGACAAGCCAATTCAAGTTTCAGCACACTTGTACCATATCCCGGTAAACTATCCCGTAGACACCTTACCGAGATATGGTACAAGATCACTCAAGGCGAGACTGCGCAAGAAAGATAAGAACTGTTAAGATAGTCCTGTCAGCTTGCAAAACTTTTTCATAAATTGCGTATTTTGTTTACTGCCCCACTCCGCTGCCTTTTAAACTCGTTTTGCAAACCAAAAGCTGATTCTCCTCCATAGATTGATAGAGAAGTGTACTAGAGAAAAGCAAAAACGATTATAAGTAAATGCCATTTGTCACGACTACAATTTGTTTCAGCTTATTTAGTTCAAATCTTGCAAAAATTTAGCATAAAGCGAAAATATTATTGAACCTTTTTACATGGCCAAAACTTTCTTAATCAAAGGTAGTAGAAGGAAGAAATCTTTTTGAAGGAAAAAAAATTAAAACTTTTGGCTGTTTTCGTTAGCCGTAATAAGCATCTTTTCCATTATCTTCTGAATAACGTATCATCCGTTTGATTTTTCAGATCAATGAATGCCATGTTCTTAATCAAATATAATTAAGTAGAGAAATCTATTCAAAGATTTTTTTGAAAGACAAAACTTGAGGATGTTTTTGTTAGCCATGAAAGCGTCTTTTCAGCTATCTTCTAGATAACTTATCAGCCGTTTGATTTTTCAGATCAACGAACAATGAACTTGTGCACGCTATCGCCTCCTTTTTATGGCGCAACCGGAAACGATTTCGTTTTTCAATTAATCCACAACGATTGTCTGTGAACGATAAGTCAGAACAGTAAAGTGCACTCAAGCAGTACAAGAAATTCAAGATGACTACAAAGCTCAAATATCAATTGAATCGAGCATATAGACACACACCCGTATAAACTTTGTGAACACCAAACTGAAACGGAATCTTCAGCAAACTAGGATATGACCAATAGTCTCGTCAACGTCATACATAATTAAATATACAAAAATCACAACAGTTGTTACGCATCGTATTGTATTGAGAATCATGTACCGTTTGATTCAACTGGCTTGGCATCGGCAAAGGCGGGGCTTCGTGACTTAATTAAGGCTAGGTAATGATCAGAGAGCACTCGCGCGAGAGAGACGCAGATGCGTCGCGGGCGTGAGCGGCCTCAATTAGATCACAAAGCCCCGCCCTAATGGTGCCAAGCCAGTTGAATCAAATGTTACGTCTTAGATCAAGAAAGTACGCATCAAGGAAACAATGAGCAGCTTCATAGTCCGTTGCCATGCAAATTTTCTTTTTTGCTTTGTGTAATGAGCAGAAGTTGTAGGACAAGGAACTGAAAACAGGATCAACTCAGAGCAGCAAGCACAAACATCCTACCGGAGAGGGTAATGCAGTCAGTGCGTCATTTCTTGATATCCAAATATTTATCCCAATCTTCCCTTCCAGCTGTAAGCCTACCCTCCACTATTTACGAAAAGGATTTCATTGACTTAGAATATATAAGCAACGCTTTTTAGTCTTTTGTATGATTCTCTGATGTCCTCTGCAGCTGATCGTTTTTTCTCAAAGTGAGAACATTTCAAAGCTGTGTAGACTATCTGACTCAACAATGCTAAACAGGGAATAAAAAGAAGTTGACTCAGTCATTCCAAACAAGTGTATCATTGGACTTGTCTTGAAACACTGATCGCAAATATGTGTTTACCATTTGCCAAGCGACTATCTGAAAGGAGTTGTGAGTTGATTACGAGATTCGCGATTATGCGTTGAAGAATACTTAACAAATTCACGCTTTTAACGATCATAACTTCTTTTAAATAGTCGTTTGGATCTAAAATTTATATCTGACAAGGAAAGCGTGTTTAGTCGATGTGGTCTTTTCAGATGAGACCTACACTGCTTTGAAGTATCGCACGATTCCAAACCTGTCTTCCAAATCTGCCAAGCGCCCGTGGACACCGAGTTATGACCGTTTTTTGTAGTGAAAAATGGATGCAGAATTTAAATAGAATTGATTATTACAATTTTTAAAGCGCTCAGATAATGCATTGTCAAGTGTTAGCATATTAGACAAAATGTATCCATTGCATAAAGGGCTCTGATACTTGACACTGGACCATTTGAGCAGACATGGGCGATTTTGTTCCAGTTTTGTGTGCAGTTTTTTGACCTAAAAACGCCCATAACTCGGCCAAAGGCGCTTGGCAGATTTGGAAGGCAGATTTAAAATCACCGCTTAATGCCCTTCATAACTGTATGGGTCTCATTTCGAAAGGCCACTTCGACTACACACGATTCCCTTGTGAGATCAGCGTTCCAAGGCGAGTTCAATAGTTTACGGTTTTTTTATTGTGTTGTAAAGAAAGCTCCGTAGCACAGAAAAATTATTTTTTCTGACGCATTTTTCTGGCGCTCGCTCGGACATTAATGACAGGTTTTTTATACTGTTCACTAGAAGGGGTCTGAGCGGTACAATCGAATTTAATTTAGCGCTCCCTTTTCCGCAACAGATGCGTTCGCGGCGTAGCTTGCGCATGCAAGACTAGCCTCATCAATCGGGATCGATGCTCTTAGGGCCTAGCGCGACGATTCCGATTGATGAGGCTAGTCTTCCATGCGCAAACTACACTGCGAGCGCAGCGCGAGACTTGGGACTGTGATTTAGCTATAGAGAGAAAGAGCACAAGGTTGACAGGGACTATCATTGTAGCATAGCGCACGATTTTTGCGCAATTCAAAACATTAGTCATAAGAACGAAAAAATCATGACAGACTGAAAAATTATAAAACCTTTTCATTCATATGTCAAGATTCGATTACCAATCACCTTCAAGCACTTTTGCATGTCACTCGACAACGCTCTGCCATTATACGTAAATAAACTGGCCTTTCACGGAGATGATTCTGCTGGGGAAAAACCTGAATAACTAAAAGCTCGCGCTTTATCGGAGAATAAGAATGACGCCAACAAAAAGCAATGATAAAATCTTACAAAGATAAGCTCATATCATATCTACGCGCATGCTATTGCAAGTAGATACGTCAAGTTTACTACACCAGGTGAAGGCGCAAAAGCCTTGTTATTTTCGCGGGCGCAAATGCGGCGCGTAGCTATACTGTTATCGTCGTATCCCCGGTGTAGAGGCTGGGTTCGCACTGATCCGGAAGTATGGGAACAGTTCTAGGCACAGCGCTCGAACTGATAGCTGTGCTGAGACTGTTCCCGGACTTCGGGATCAGTATGAACGCCAGAGGGGCGGAGCGGACTTGTATTGTGAGACAGGGTAAATTATCGATTTATCGAGTCCGCAGTGACACGCCTCGTCTACTCCGGGAAACCGACGTAGTCCTTTTCTTAATCTTTGCATGCTCTCTCATACGGGCTCTGCGGCTCTTGTTATTCTCTCCATACTTCTGTCTTCAGCTTGGTGTTCGCCTCTTTCAATTTCTCTTAGGTCTGCTGTGATTTTGTCCATCCAGCGTGGCCGTGGTCTTCCTCTTTGTCTATTTCCAGGGATCTTGATGAACGTTGCCTTTTAAAACGTGGTCTTCTGCTCTCCTTTTTACGTGTCCGCACCATCGAAGTCGCTTTTCTTGCATCTTCTTGGAGATCGGAACAACCTTCAACGTGGCTCGTATGGTATCATCATTGGTGATGTGCTCCATCATTGTGACACCTGCCGTCCATCTCAGCATGCGCGTCTCCATCAAGCTGATCCTAGTTTCTTCGTTTCTCGTGCATGGACAACATTCGTATCATATAGAGCAGTTGGGCGGATATAGTTCGATACAGCTACGAGCAGCTTAAGCCGTATCCGCTTGTCGTACAGTATTCCCGTGAAACTTCTTCATTTCGTTCAACCTGCATGTATTCTACTCGTGTTCTCGTCTTGAAGCGGACCCTCTGCAGATATGCGACTTCCCAGACAGTTGCGAATGAAGGTTTTCTTGAGTGAGGCGCTTCCAATCTCGATGGTCCCGAGCGTTTGAATTTTCAGCTTCAACTCGGTCTTCGTGATGTCGATCTCCTAGACCATGTAGCACCAGTTCGCTTTTCCAGTTCTGCACCTCCGCTACAATTCTGTCCTGCTTCTTGCCATTAACATCATGTCATGTGCGTACATCAGGACTTACGGAGGTCGACATATGTAGCCTTTGACTATTGTATTTACGACCGCGATGAAGAGAAATGGTGGCAGTGAAATTCTAGTAAACTCCGGCGCTTATCTTGAAGTCTTCTGGTTGTCCAGTTGCTTTTTTTAGGCGGTTGGTGGCACCTTTGTCCGTCATTCTGATTCAGTTAACGTATCTTCGGCACCATCTGCTTTCGCAGTGACCACTATAAGGCATCATGCGGCACCTCATCAAATGCTTTCTCCAGATCGTAGCTCTCACTGCATTTCCTTGCTTCTTTCCATTATCATCCTTGCCACATAAATTTTTTGTTGTTCGCCATGGCCA